AGAGGCAACCACTGCATTTTAATCATGATCCAAACAAAGATGCTGCGTACATGCAACATGAGCAGTTTTTAATCTAAATTAAAATTTCAAAATTTGAAGCAAAAACAGAATGATTTGACTTCAGTTTTGTGAAGCTATACATAAAAATATCTGCATGAAACTGAAACTGAAACAGCAGACGAGCTGAACGAGACGCAGATTCACTCTCTGCCAGCAGGTGGCGCTTAAAGCGTTTCCTTGGTTTCCGCTGTAAACAAAGCAGCGCTGCACTTATGAACTTTAATATGCTTTATACAGAGACAAGATGAAAAGAAAAAATACCATCTAAACTTTTCTAAAGACAGTAAGTTCCCCTCAGACATGCATTCATATAAACTCCTACACCTAAATGAATCGCGATTTGTTTAGCATCTCAACCGATTTGAATCGTCACATATTTTAATCGATTTTCAACCGGCTCGCGGTTAATCGTTACATCCTTATTAAGAATAGCTCAAACAGAGAAAGTAATAAAAATGGCGAAAACACAACAAAATTACTAAAACTTAAAAATTGAAATGAAAAAATATAAAAATAAACTAATTCAAAATATTAATAAAACTGTAAATATCACATGAAATCTTGTAATTATCTAATATTTTGTGGGTTTTTTTCTATTGTCTTGGGCTTGTGGTTTGAAGTGACTTTAATGCAATGCATTTGAGAATAATTTCTGTTGGTGTGCTGTGAGTGTAAATAGTGTTGTGTTCAGGTGCTGATGTGGAGTCTCAGGCTCAGGATTGTGCAACAATACTGTTTGAGGCGTCTGCTTCAGGAAACCCTGACGTCATCTCCTTACTGCTGGAGTACGGCGCTGATGCCAACATCCCCAAACGCACGGGACACCTGCCCATCCACAGAGTGGCCCACCACGGACACGGGAAGTTAGTGCTACATACTGCATGACAATGAATGTGATGAAGCATGGTGAAGCCTTCGTATTGGGTTCTTTGCTAAACAAGCAGATTTAGTCCAGGCTTAAACTTTCTAAATAAACTAAAAGTGAAATGTTTTAAATATTTCAATTTGATGTATGTATTACCAGTGCATACTGTATGCTACTTTGCGTAAAGTTTGGAATAATTATGATTATTTAATGTTTCTGAAAAGGTGTATCAAAGCTGCATTCATCTGCATTTAAACATACAGTAAAACAGTAAAATTTTGTAATATTATTAAAAAATAAAATAACTGTTCTAATACATATTTTATATTTTTGTAAAGCAAAGCGGAATTTTTAGCATCATTACACCAATCTTCAGTGTCACATGAATGAACAGAACGTTTCAAAGAACAGCATTTATTTCGTAAAAGCATTATCACCAAATCATTCATAGGTGTTTTTGATAAAACTTGCATCATTACGGAAGTTAAATGTGACCCTAGACCACAAAACCAGTCATAAGGGTGAGTTTTTTATGAATAAATAAGCTTTCCATTGATATATGGTTTGTTAGGATTTGACAATATTTGGCTGATATACAACTATTTGAAAATCTGGAATCTGAGGGTGCAAAAAAAAAATCTAAATATTGAGAAAATTGACTTTAAAGTTGTCCAAATGAAGTTCTTAGCTTTAAGTTTTGATATATTTATGGTAGAACATTTACAAAATATCTTCATGGAACATGATCTTTACTTAATATCCTAATAATTTTTGGCATAAAAGAAAAATCTATAATTTTGACCCATACAATGTATTTTTGGCTATTGCTACAAATATACCCCAGCGACTTAAGACTGGTTTTGTGCTCCAGGGTCACAAATAATTCTAAACAAACTTCAAATGCATTATAATACTCATAGAAAATCTATTTATGACATTATTTTTGACAGCATCCTCATTTTACAGTAAGTGCCTAAAACTTTTAACAGTACTGTAGCTTTGCAGGTAGGTTTCTTGAAGGTTTCTATGAAGGTAGAATGACGTCAAAAAGATTTGCATACGCAGGGTAAGAGTTGTGGAAGTGTACATAAGACTGTAAGCGTAAATTAAATTTGCATGCGCAAGAAAAGCTTTGTAAAGGTGTAAATCGTGTTTCAAGCGCAAGAAAAAATTATTTGCAGCATTTTACTGTTATTCGTAAGTGTAACGCTTACAGTCTTATGTACACTTCCACAACTCTTACCCTGCGTGTGCAAATCTTTTTGACGTCATTCTACCTTCATAGTTTCTGACACACTACAGCAAAAGATAGAAATAACTGACTTAAAACCATTTTTTTTAACTGATGAAAAGAGCAGTGTTCAAATAATTTGGCCACCACTGCATTTACTGTATATTTCAGTTAATGTTTATTTTATTTCAAGTAATGAAATACCTTATGGTTTTATTGTTATAATTAACTTCTGTCCGCAGGGCTCTGGCTCTGCTGATTCCCGTGACATCGTGGGATGCAGTGGATGACAGTGGGATCAGTCCTCTTCACTCGGCGGCGGCGGGTGGACACACTCAGTGTCTGGAGATGCTGCTAAACGCTCATTACGACCCCAACTTCATGCTGCACCCATGGGTGCGTCGCAGCTATGACGACAAGCGTCAATCCGCGCTCTACTTCGCCGTCTCCAATGACGACGTCGCCTCCACCCAAGTGCTGCTGGAGGGCGGAGCGATGCCCAACCAGGACCCCGTCAAGTGCCTGCAGGTGGCGCTGCGGCTGGGAAACTACGAGCTGATCAACCTGCTGCTTCGCTACGGATCCAACGTCAATTACTACTGCAGAGTGAACACCACGCACTTCCCGTCGGCCTTACAGTACGCGCTGAAGGACGAGGTGGTGCTGCGGATGCTGTGTAACTACGGCTATGACGTGGAGCGATGCTTTGACTGTCCATATGGGGAGGGATCGCATGTCCCGCAGGGTTACGAGGGCTGGAGTGACACCGTCATTAAAGACACGCAGGTGAGTTTGCGTCTGACTTTGGCGTTCAATGTTTCTGGCGTGTGTCTTGAACGCTCTTTTCCTCTCGCTGTAGTTCTGTGAGGTCATCTCTGTCTCGTGGCTCAAGCATCTCTCGGGAAACATGGTCCACATCATGTTGGATTACGTCGATCATGTGACCTTTTGCTCCAAACTGAAGGCTGCGCTCATGGAGCAGAAACAGTGGCCTGAAATCTGCAAAATTCAAGGTTTGTTCAAAAATCTTTATTTGACCCTCTAACTCTAGCACTCTCTATTCTAATTCTATTTGACCTATTTGTTGACTTGACCCTCTCTATTTGTTTTCTAACTGCTTGTTTTCTTTTAAAAAAGGCCCCTAACACTAGCTTTCTCTATTCTTTTTCTATTCTATCTACTTGTTTTCTTTTTGTTATATGTATGTGTATTACGCGATATTGCGTAGCTTGTCAGTGAACTACGGCTCTGTGTAGTAAATGCCGCTCCATTTGAAAGCAGGTGATAGAGATTTACTACTAATCACAGAACCGGCTTTACTGACAAGATGCGATTATCAATTCGATTATTTGCACAGCCCTAGTTGCAAAATGATTCACTGTTTGGAAGTGCGAATTATTTTTATTTAGATCGGGACTTTGGAGCGTGGATTGCAAATCATTTGATTTAGTTTGGAATTTGGAGCTCTTATTGGAATCATTTGATTCAGTTCGGGACTTCGGAGTAGACTTGTGCCGGTTTTCGGTAATGCGATATATCACGGTAATGAATATGCACGATATTGTTATCGTGGGCTTTCTGTATTGCTTTATTGCATTTAAATGTTCAGTTATTTTTGTTATAAGAAAAATGTTATTAAACCTGTTATACTGTATTATGACAGCACTTTTTTAAAACTAAATTTCATTACCGTGATAATACCGTATACCGTGATAAAAGCATGAGCAATTAATCGCAACATGAAAATCTGATACCGGCATATCCCTACTTCGGAGCGTGGATTTCGAATCATTTGATTCAGATCGGGACTTCGGAGCGCGTATCGTAAATCATTTGATTCAGATCGGGACTTCGGAGCGCGTATCGCGAATCATTTGATTCAGATCGGGACTTCGGAGCACGTATCGTAAATCATTTGATTCAGATCGGGACTTTGGAGCACGTATCGTAAATCATTTGATTCAGATCGGAACTGCAAAGTGCGTATTGCGAATCATTTGATTTAGATCAGAACTTCAGAGCGGGTTCGGGAATTGAATACTTCTCGATCTGCGCTCCGAGTCCTGATCTGAAATAATGGTTAGTGAGTACAAATCATTTGATTCAGATCGGAACTTCAAAGCATGTATCATGAACAGTGTTGGGGGTAACGCATTACAAGTAACGCAAGTTACGTAATCAGATTACTTTTTTCAAGTAGCGTGTCTTTTTTTATTGCTGAAGTGTGTTGAAATTTCTTCTTCTGCATTCTACTGTACGGACGTAAATGTACTTTCCCTTCAGCCTGAGGCTTATTCATTTCACTTTTGGTGTGAAAAGGCTTTTATATTTGCCAAAAATAGAACTTTTTTATTTTAAAAACAAATAAGCAAGCCCTGTCCAGATTTAAAAAGTAACGCAAAAGTAACGTAACGCATTACTTTCCATAAAAAGTAACGAAGTAACGTAATTAGTTACTTATTTATGGAGTAACGCAGTATTGTAATGCATTACTTTTAAAAGTAACTTTCCCCAACACTGATCATGAATCGTTTGATTTATACCGGAACTTCTGACCGGGTTTGCGAATCATTTTGCAAATTGAATGATTGGTAATCCACACTCTGATTTCTGATCTGAAATGACGGTTTGCGAATTGTTTTTCAGATCGGGACTTCGGCACCTGTATCGCGAATCATTTGATTCAGAACAGTGTGGGTTCGCAAATCTTTTTTCAGAGGAGTGACAAAAACAACTCACTTCAATGTCTGACTTATTTATGTCCATAAGTTTTTTGTGAAATTTGGATGAAGTTATTAATCTGTGGTTTGAGCACTTCATATTTAAGGAGAGAACTATAGTTTCCAAAGTTGGACATCACTTGTTATGATTTTCAAGCGTGTAGAATTTAGTAGGGACACTATGACATGTTCCTACCAATATCAGCCACTACTAAATTGTCCCTAGCAATAATTTTGATCAAACAATGTCCCCATTGGTATGTCCAAAATCAAACCCACACCTTTGTGCAAAATATATGAACTCTGCTGTGTAATTGGTTTTTCTCTGCTCATGTCATGCTTTCGTTTTTGACTAGTTTTGTTTCTTCACAGAGAGCGTCCGCTGTCTGCAGCATCTCTGTCGGCTGAAGATCAGGGCTTGTTTGGGCCGGTTGCGTTTGAGAGCTCCAATCTTCATGAGCTTCCTTCCATTACCAGACCGACTGAAGCAATACATCATATACAAAGAATATGATCTCTACGCTCAGAAATGCCAAACGCAAAGCAAATAAACCAGAACACACACCTGTAGAAACACACAATTACAGCTCAACGCAAGTGTAATGGACACTCCATGACAGACGTCTTGTCCAGAATTATGTGCATATTCTTTAAATACAGTTAATATGAAATATGAAAAGAGTCTTAACGTTAACGAATATGTATAGAACTCAATAATTTGTTCAAATAAATAAATAAATATTTGTTTTAATAAAAATATAGCCATTAATGCATTTGGTCTTTTTGGAAGCATATCTGTGTAAAAAAAATATTTTTTATCTATATAGAAATAACATTTAGGAGGCTAAAGTTTTTATGCATTTATTTTGTAACAAATTAAAATAAATTAGAAATGATTTAAAAGGTTGCCTCATAAATTGTTATTTTGATAATATTTAACCTATATTAACAACTCATGATCAACACTATTTAATTTTTTCCCACACCTTTCCACACAAACATCTCATGTAATTTTTATAAGAGCCACACTTTTCCTTGTTATGTTTTGTTTTGTTTTATTTTTCCTTTATTGAAATACAACATTTGACAAATATTGAACAGCTATCAGCCTGCCATACTTCTGAATTTTTTTTTTAATTAATTTATAAATATTATAAAGTGTATGAGTGATTCGGAAAAAAAATAAAATTATGGATGAAATATTTCGCTAATATAATACTATTATTAACCATCAGAGAGCCACGAATGGCTTTTATTTCTTATAAACAAGCGTGGACGTCATCATAAAATCCACAGCGCCTCGGCCAATCAGCGGGAGGGAGGAGGCGGGACTTCCGCGTTTGTGGGCGGATCCGGGTGGGTGTTGATTTGTCAGGAATAAAGCGAAGATCAACTTCATAACATTGTGATTTTTGTTTCTGAATAATAATCTAAATAGCTCGTTGCGCTCGCAGTAAATCTGCAGTCATGCCGGGAATCGATACATTACCGCTAGAGGAAACTCTGGAGGACAGTCCGCAGGTAAATCAGCAGCATTTAGCTAGCAAGCTAACAGAAATAAATAAATAAACACTGATCATAATAAACATCTGCTTCTCACGCTGTTAAACACAGCGGATCATGAGTTTGTCCATGTTTCTATTCATCCTGATGGTTTGATCTGATTGATTCTGTCTTGGTTTTGAGCTCTTTAGCTTTTGATGGGTGGTGGTTTGGATTTGGCAATGATCAGTTATTGGAAAACTGATGTCAAAAATATAAAAGAAAACTACAGTAAGATGGTCTAAACATTGCTTTACATTTTGCCTTACACGATCAATGTTGTAATTAGAGATCAGATTGAAACTCATCAAGATGTATTCACATTTGATTCTGAGTCACTCTGGTGTGAAAACAGTTTTAGTGTCACACTGAGTCTGAAATCTCACAATTGAGCTTCAAGAATAAAGTCTGAGGCCTTGTTTTACACGCATCCACCATTTGTTAATAAACAACACATTTTATGATGGTAATAACATATTGAAGTCATGTCTGAACAGTGCTGGTGTGTTTCAGACTCGCTCTCTGCTCGGTGTGTTTGAGGAAGACACTGCAGCCGTATCCAGTTATTTCAGTCAGCTCTTCAAAGCCATGCAGAGAATCTACGACGCCCAGGTGAGAACATGGTATATGATATATGCTCGGTAATCACATTATAATAGTGACTGTAACTTAAGATCTTGTCATGATCACATTGCATACCAAATCCAAAAGATCATATTGTGGATAAGGAAAACTAAACCCATTTTTAGGGCCATTATAATAATAATAATTAGTAATAATAATATATTATTGTAGTTATTGTTAATAATATTTAAAAGAATAATACATATTTATTATATGAGATAACATATATTATTACTATAAATTATTATTAATAACTAAAATATAAATAATAATAAATATTCATGTTACGAGCTATAATAATTCTATTGTATTTATATTCATATTAAATTATTATAATTGTCAATAATAATAACAATATTAATAATAATGTAATTAAAATAATAAATATTCATTATATGAGATACAATAATACTATTGTATATTATTGATATCATTATAAAATTATTATCAATGCTAATATCAGTACATTAATAAGAATAATACATATTCATTATATTATACGAGATGTAATACTATTATACATTATTGATATTTTAAAAATTGTCATTATTAATGATTTTGTATAAAATAAAATCATATTATTATTAATAATAAATACAAATAATTAGTAAACAAAAACGAATATTCATAATATTAAATAATGAACAAATATTATTAATAATAACAATATTATTATTATTATTTTTCATGCATAATATAATTTTTTTTATGACTTTGGGGTAAAAATTATTTGTATTATTGTTTGTGTGCTTCTCTTTTCAGAATGAACTGAGTGCTGCCACACATCTGACGTCTAAATTACTGAAAGACTACGAGAAACAGGTGATTTCTGCCTTTTGATCATTTTATTCATAGTATCTCAGCTTTCTTAAGTTCTCTTTGTGTATATGTAGTGATATAGTTGAATGGTATGACATCTGTCTCTGTTGTGCAGCGTTTTCCTCTGGGAGGTGATGATGAGGTCATGAGCTCCACTTTGCAGCAGTTTGCTAAAGTCATTGACGAGGTCAGAACATCATCAGTCACTAATGAAGGTCCTGTGGGAGTGTGTGTGTGTGTGTGAGGTTTCACTGTGTTTTCTTTCAGCTCAGCTCGTGTCACGCCATTCTCTCCACTCAGCTCGCAGACGCCATGATGTTCCCCATCACACAGTTTCAGGAGAGAGACCTGAGAGGTAGGAGACAGCAGTGCATTGTGGGCTAGAGCGTTCTAGAATCTAAGAATTATTTTTTCCAATTTCATTTCAAATTTTTTGTATTATTTTTTTTTAATGTCTATATTAGGGCTGTCGCGATTCGTCGATTTTATTCGACTGTTCGATTTTTAAAAATCCTCGACTTCATTTTGCTTGCGTCGACTAACCGGCAAAATACCGGAAGTGGCGCATTTCACGGACGAGAATCCATAAAACACATTAGTAGACTGTTTTCCAAGGCTGCATGATATATTAATTAATATATATTAAAAATCATAATTAAGCATAATTGTGAATTCACAAACGCTACGATTTAATTAAATAATTATATGCGATGCAGTTCTAATACAGTATATGCGCTTTAATTATTTACATGCGTGTAGGTTACGTACGTGCGTCTCACAGCGGCTCCGTTCACAGTAGTTCCACAGGAACTGTTATCATTTACATGTGTGGAGCAAGGTTATTTTCGTAAACGAAAACTAAAACTAAGACTAAAACGATTGATGAAAAAACAATTTCGTAAACTGAAATAAAATAAAAACATCGAAATAATTGAAAAACTAAAACGAAACTAAACTAACAACAGTTATTGAAAAACGAACTGAAATAAAATAATAATTATCAAAAATAAATAATCGTTTTCGTAATCATTACATTCTCACCCCTTAGCGGAAAAATATACGAGCTGTGTGGAGGTTTAGGGAAATAGCCTACCTGTAGTGGCGCATCACGCACATGGGGTTATCTGACAGAGACGCAAAGCAGTTTAAAGCCTGCACGGGTCCTGTTTGGTAAACGTGCACCAGCAGTAGGCTACTTAACAGAACACCCGACCCATTATCTGACAGCAGCACTAATTTAATTCTGTACCAGACGAGAACCGTTTGACAAAGACTGCGAGTCATGACCCGAACCGCACTCGCATTAAATCTATTACATCAGGTAAGCAAGATTATTTATTTTATCATGTAACACAAGCAATCAAACCAACATTAGTCATTCTAAGTTGGTGCTTTGAAGAAAAACAGAAATGCAGTGCAACATGATAATTAACAGAAAAAAAAGATGAGAACGCGCGTCCTTTCTGTAAACAATACAAAACTTTAGCCAAGCATCTTGTGATCACTCTGCCAGGCTTTTGAACAAATGTGCATTGGCTAAATCACTTCATACACACGCTTATAATTTCATAAATGAAAAGAACATTGAAATACAAGCCTTTACTGTTAAATGGCTATTGTTCACTTACATCTATTTTTATTACCACAAACATTTTTTATTATAATTATAGGAAGCATCTCCAATTAATTTATTTTATAAAAAAAAAATAAAAAAAATAAAAAAATAATTAAAAATTAAATATTTTCTTTTTTTTTTTTTTCAGAAATACTGCACATTTACATTTTTCTCCTAAATAAATTCTGGTAAATAACATTTCTGGTAAATACTCCTTTAAAAAGTGTTTTGTTTTTTGATTATAATTTTAATATTAGTAGACTATAACACGTGGATATGTTGTCATTCTTACACTATAATACTGAACTTTGATTTCAGTGATTTGGACTATGAGATTTGGACTTGCTTCTTGCGTTTATGTTGCACTTTACTTTTGCTTTAAAAAAAGGATTTCATAGAAATTTGGATTTAATTTGGTTTAATAAAATATAGTTTAATAAAATATTCTTAAGTGAAATGGTTGATTTTTTGTGTGGGAAATTAATCGTTTAGATTAATCGATAAATTAGTCGATAGATTAATCGAAATAAAAATAATCGCTAGTGGCAGCCCTAGTCTATATAGTTTTATTAACTCAGTTTTAGTTATTTTAGTGTATTTTAGTATAACAATTTTTTTATATATTTTTTAAAATTATTTTAGTCTAAGTAATTTACCTATATATTGATGTTTCATGCCCATTTAGTAATTTATTTCTCAAGCAGCTGTGTAATACAGTGAAATTTTGGAATTACAGAGATACTATTATAGTTTTTATTAATATTTAGAATCACTATTTATTTATATATTTTCTATTTTAATTTTACTCAAAGTTTTATTAATTTTATTGTTTTATTGGCCGTTTTTATATGTCTATATACTTTTATTAAGTTTTAGTTATTTTAGTACATCAAGTTAAAAAGTGTCACCTTCACAACCGGCTGATGTTTTAAATATAAATTTTATTATACTTATATAATTTGTATTTTTTATTTTTATTTTCCATTTTTATTTTAATATTAAAGATTTAGTTGTTGTTGTTTTTTGGTCTTTTTGTAGTAGTTTTTTTTTTTTGAAAGTGTCTATATAGTTTTAATTTTAATTTCAGTTGTAGTTTTAGTTATTTTAGTATATCAAGTTAAACTAAATAAAATGAGCAATGTTGTCTTGGCAACTAGCT